CTGACTATCCCACCGGCCTGCGAAAACTGGGAAAACTCATAAAACCCATACATCGCTGAGTGTGAAAACTGTACAGGAGGTGTCTATGCTGCGGCCATGGGTGATGAGGCTGAACCCGCCAAATATCCAGCATATGAACCCCAAGTCAGATCTGCAAACATAGATCCATAATAGCCTCTAGGAGGGGTTATCTGTGACGGTGGAGGCGGTGGGGTCATAAAAGCAGGTGAAGGCGGCGACGGCGACATCTAGTAATGGAAAGGCAGTGGCGGCATCATATATGGTTACGGTATGTAAGTCGTTGGATACGGTGGCTACTGTAAAGGTCCTGCTGGTGCAGTTGAGGATGAATCGGATGCACCTACTCTCTGTCTATGAGTCGGGGGATGATGGTGCTGTGTCGGTGAACATCTCTGTCAACGTCACGGAAAGGTCTGCCCTCGTGCATCCTCGGGAAGCAGAAACGGTTTGCCGTTACTGTTGAACCACTCATAATAACCGTCAGCAACCATCAAGGGGTCAAGTAAAATGGGCTCTCTTTGGGGAAGGCATCGATGTCAATCCTCCCACAATACGACCCACGCATGATACCTCACCAGCCAATTTGTATCTGTCTTGCCGCATCTATCTGTGCTATACAACTCGTCCATATTGCGAGGTGCTTCCGGAATTGGTTGAAAACAACCAAATTGTCGGAGCACGCGATCAGTAGAGTGCCACTCGACGGTCGCATAACAGATCAAGGGGATCATTGCTATCCAAACATCTGATGGGCCCCTCAACTCAGGTGGGATCATCGCCCTCACATCATCAGTAGAATATGGCACCCATTCAAACTAAAACAAATATATATAATTTTTATCAAAATATTAATCTAATTATATAACTATAATCTAAAATCGATTTTTAAACATTAAAATTCATACATGTATGCCAGCCTTCTGATCGATTAACACTCTAATTTTTCTAAATCATTAGGTAGCTCCTGATGATTTTTCCTATCAGTAGACAACCTATTCAAGAAAAATAATTTCTTATTCACTGTATAAAATTATTAATATACAAAATCAGTTTTATAATTAACTCAGAAGTAGCGGAAATACGAATGGGTTCTTGACAACGGAACATAAAAAGGGTAATCGATACCATGCCCAAGACTGCAGCAGGAGGAGACATCCGCCGATAGCATTACGCCTGTAGTCAATAGCTCGACACATCTCCCTGTACAGGCAAACCAAAACTGCCGAGCCCCAACTGAGTGATCCGGCCAGATGAAATTCGCCAAGATGTTGTAACCACATACAGTGAACTTGGTTGTGCGATTTGTCCGGTATCAGCAACCCTCCTATCAGTTGCAGCATGCATGCCCGTGCATACTGTTTAACTTCATCGTCAGACGCATCCTCGCTCAACTCCCGTAAATTGGCATCTAACCAATTTAACGATATCCGTCCACCGTTAAAATTTTTCGGGACACATCCTAGACTAACCCGACACAAAGTAGTCCAAGAACCGGAAGCTATCCCTGATATCACACCTCCATCCACCGGAAGCCCTAGGTGCATAGAAACATCCTCAAGCGTGATCGTGCACTCTCCGCACAGAAGATGGAATGTGTGGGTCTCCGTCCTCCACCGCTCTACTAAGGCAGAAATAAGATTTGGTTCTATCTTACAGTGACCCTGATATCTACCTAGGTGACCGAATCCAACCTCTACTAAATACGACATTACACGAGTAGGTATAACTAACTTAATGTTCCTAATAAAATGATCTAATATACGGTATCTCTCCTAAAAAATAAATAATTACACAAATTAATTTTTAAACTAATAATCATGCATTAAATAAATTAATGAATTAAATTAAAACGTTAAAATGTTACCGTATCAGCAAAGTGTCGAGATATATGATTTCCATCCAGCCAAAGTAGACCGCCTTCCATTTTATGTCTGCAAAAAAATTAATTAAATAAAATATTTAGCAATTAAAATAATTAAATAAATTACTAAAAAAACTAAATATAATAAAATATACCTTAATAATAGAATATAAGAGTATTTGAGAGAAGTTGAGAGGATTTGGTGTGATGAAAGTGATTGAGAATTGGGGTATTTATAGGGAGGGAAGGTGTGAACGGGCGGGAATAATTTGATAATTAAGGGTATAGCGCGGGGCATGGCCCGCGCCTTTCTGACGAGTGTCAGAATCACAGGTAAGGCGCGGCCCCTGCGCCGCGCCATACCCTTAATTACCAACCTACCCTCGCCCGTTCACACGTGTATCCATGTCAGCATAAGGCGCGCCTCAGGGGGCGCGCCTTACCCCACGTGGCACTAACTCAGCGTATAGTGCGGTGCAGGGGGCACGCCTTACTGCAAAGGGTGTTAGATCGAAAAATATAGTCTAATCGGTGCCTAATCGGGAATATTAAATTAAAAAGATGATTTTTTGGGAAAAATGCCTGTAATGTTCACATATTAATATTATGAAATTTTTTCTCCAATTTCATTTAAAACTTGGGTTGTAATTTAATTTTACAAATGGAAATATTTGTATAAATCCCTTAATTAAATCAAATTACTTGATTTTTATGATTTTTTAATACAGAATATAATTAAATTAATTCGCTTGGACATATTAAGTTTACTATCTACAAAATTAACCACTTGCATTTTTTTTACCCTACTGATTTTATCTCAATAATTAAGTTTCTGTGAAAAAACTACTATTCATTTGTTTGTCAATAAAATTACCACTTAATCATTAACGAGTAACGACCAATTCATAAGATTATTTTATAATTCTATAAAGTTAACCAATGTCAAATTGACATGAAAGATATTTTTATCAAACAAAAACATATAAATTAATTAAGACTAAATAGATTATTGGAATGCAAAGTGCAAACGCAACAAATAAAAAAAAACCTTGAAATTAAATAAATAGGCTAAAAAGTGAAAAAGAATAAGGGGGAAAAAAGAAATGGTCCCCTAGAATATGCTCAAGTGATCTACACGAAAAAGTATGACTTTTGATCGGAAATCAAATGGAATAAAAGTGAATAATTAACAACTAATCAAGTCATTAGCACATATTAAATATTTTAAAATTTATATTAAAAAAAAGGTCATAAATAGACCAATGGTGTTTAATTAGCGGCAATATTTTAAAGGGTCGGCTGTTGGGGCAAGAGCCAATTGTACGAAAGTTCATTTTCTGCACCAAACCTTGCTTCTTCCACTTGTGTTCGTAGTTATCCAACACCCTTGAACTAATCTAGCTTTTATATTAAACACTTTATTTTCATATCTTCCTAAGGCCTCCGTCCAATCCCTTGCTCTTTTTCATTAGTTAAAACAGAAAAAGAAGCATAAACATTGCTGAACTGTTAACAACTAATTTTAGGGTCTATTGTTAATTATACATGATTAATATATAATTTAACCAAACAAATCTTTGAGCCACCCCAAGTTTTCCAACTGACGACCACATTGATGTCTTGTATATTTGTATGCACTTAAGGGATGAGCATCAATATTCAATATGGTAAACTACATAGAATTTTACATGATTACTTAATTAATTTTTGAATAGTCTATTAATTAATTGATCGCTTAATTACTTTTTTAAATAATTTAGATTGATTATAAAATAATATTTTTCATAATCTTTCTTAAGTACTATTGATAATACATATACGTTACAAATACATCTGCTTAAACATAGGACCTCAAGAGAGAATAACACTTCTTCGATCACTGAAATCACTCGATGGATTCAATTGATTGCTTAACAGTGATAACTTTAATGTTACTGTGTTCTGTTGAAATGCTCTATTATTAAAATATTATATGGCAAAGCTTTTTCCCCCTCTCACCATCTTGTGAATTCTTTATGTATATATGCAACTTACTATGTATCTTCACTTTAAGAAACTAGTCGAATTCAATTCATAATTATCCTAAACTTATATATATATATATTGCCAATAAGTTCTTAATAGAATCCGGTATAAATCAGCTTTAAAATGACCATCCAGCTCAGTTGGTAGAACAAGGTTCTTAACTTTGAGGTCGTGGGATCGAGTCCTACGGAGGGCATTTCATAATTCGGAGGTTTCCTATGAAAGCTGCTCTCAACCTGGTGTTGGGGGCAGCCTACTATCTTACCTCCCCTTACCCTATACATATGGGAAAAAAGGGACAGCCATTTATTTATAAATCAGCTTTAGATTTTAATTTAGTTTGAATACTACGATGAATAGGTTCTCTCCGAATATATTATAATGAGTTTAATTATATTTCATAATTATTAATTTTAATATTTTTAAATATATATTATATGTGGTTGTGGTTATGTCATATACTTATAATTTCAAATAATAATAACAATAATAGTCTTTTTGGTGTTTGCTCTTTTACTTTTTTTTTATTGTTGACACATTTTTTCTGTTAATCTAATATCGGGTAAATTATGTATTTAGTCACCCACCTATTTTTGTGGTTTTATTTTGGTTATTCATTTTTTTTCAAAATCATACATGACGTTACATTTTAATTTCATTTTGGTCACATGTTGTTAAAAAATAAACAGAAGTACTAACATATAATTTTTTCATTGATAATGCGACATTATCTTATGATGACACGTCAACATCATCGCTAATTTTTAACAGATGGTAACCAAAACAGAACCTAAAACTAACATTAAGTATGATTTTGAAAAAATATGATTAAACGACCAAAACAGAACTATAACAATAAGTCAATGACTATTTGCGTAGTTTACTAATATTAGTGCAAGTATTGTCTATCATAGATATTTGCACCACTTGAGTTGGAATTGAATCAGCTTAATATTTAATACATTCAAGTATAACCTTGATTTCAACCAATTCAATTTGAGCAATTTTTTAATATATTGAAATTTGACTCCATGACAAACCTCTATTTCACTACCAACTTGCACAGGTCTCTCTCTCAAATCCTCAGCATGATCTCTCCCATTTTTATCTCTTTATTATCATCTCTCTCCGCAATTTTCTCCTCCATATCTCACCATGTCAACAAACCAACAAGTTAGTACTGCACTTTCATACATAATTTAGTGTCTTTCGAATCTATATATACACAACTACGTACTGAATATAACTCTTGTTCCAGGTTATGTGGCCCAGATTAGTGGCTAACAAGATCCTTAGAAAGAGATTAGGAAGCAACAACTTCGTTGCAGATTTTCCCAGATACAAAGAAATCCCGACCTTGGATCGGCCATGTCTTAGTCCAAACAGTAGCATTTTCGTCCACCATAAGGATATACATAACTACAGGTAATTCATCTAGCACCACCTAACTATTTATATTCGTTTCCATCCTTTTTGATAATTGTCTTTCTGAATCTATGAAGCAACTTCAGTAATAAAAGGTAGTGTTGTTCTTCTTAGAGATCTCAAGTTCAAATAGCGATGAATGCGTATTATTAATAGCTAATAAAAATAATTCTTTCATTTGTTAGGATTTTTGTTAGTACATGGAATGTTGGAGGTGTTGCACCACCGGAAGACTTGGATATGGAGGAATTGCTAGATACGGGCAATACCTCCTGCGAAATCTACGTTCTTGGGTAAATCACATACATCAAAATCGTTTTCGTTTTTAGTTTCTTTTCCCACTAGAAAATCAAACAATGATCGATCATCATTGTCTTCTTCTTCATTTCAGATTTCAAGAAATTGTACCCCTTAGCACCTTCAGCGTGCTGGGATCAGAAAACAACAAGATCTCAACTAAATGGAATTCCCTGATTAGACGGGCTTTGAACAAGAAGAAAATCCGACAACATTCCAATGAAGAAGAAGAACAGTCAAATCATGAAAAGAGCAGCAATAATAATATTACAGGACAAGACTTTCAGTGTATTATAAGTAAGCAAATGGTCGGGATTCTAATCACAGTTTGGGTCCGAAGCTATCTTTGTCCTTATATCAGGTCTCCTAGTGTCTCGTGTATAGGCTGTGGAATCATGGGCTGCCTAGGAAATAAGGTGATTATCAAACAAATAATATTGTTAATTATCTCATATTATTCGTCCTTGATCTTTTTCAAATATCTCGATTCGCAGGGTTCGGTTTCGGTTCGATTTAGACTACACGAAACAAGCTTCTGCTTCGTTTGCTGTCATCTAGCCTCTGGTGGTAGACGAGGAGACGAGAACCTTAGAAACTCCAATGTTTCCGAAATATTTTCCAGAACAAGTTTCCCTAGAGGCCCTTCACTTGATTTACCAATAAAAATCCTAGACCATGAGTACGTAAAATTAATTACTTTATTAACTAATTAATGATTAACATGACACTAACATTGAATCAGGGGTGGATTGAAGGAATGAACGAAGACAATCGCTCTAAAAATTTAAAATTCTCATATATTTTTAATATTTCCTTTTTATTTTATATTAATAATTTTACGTACATATTATTTGATTGCCTGTTTCCAACTTTGAATCTTTCATGAGGCCGCCAAAGATAAAACGTGGTTTTTTGTTGACTATTATTTGTGACATTTTGGAATGTATATAGTTTGAAATAATTAAATTAGTGTAGTTGTTAAAAAGCAAATTTTAATCTAGTGGGCTAATTAAATTATTTTATTTACTGGTAAACCGACTTTTTATTATCAAATAGTTTATTATAGGATATAGTTGACTTCTTAATCAAATTAAAAAAATTAATTACTTTCTAGGCTATAAACATAAAGATTAAAACGAATTTAATATGGAAATATCTTGTGATATTGTCTTAATTAACCATTGTCATGGTTTGTTTTGCAGTCGGGTAATTTTTCTAGGAGACTTGAATTATAGGATTTCCCTACCGGAATCAACTGTTCGACTATTAGTAGATTCAAGAGACTGGAATTCCCTGCTCGAAAATGATCAGGTAATAAAAAAACATCTTCGTATTTATGTCTAAATATAAATAAAAAAAAAATCGAATTTTCTTATTCTGAAAATTTCTTATTGGAATGAAGCTAAGGATGGAGCTGATGAATGGCGAATTTAAAGGGTGGCATGAAGGATTAATTGCATTTGCTCCTACTTATAAATACCGTCCGAATTCTGATATATACCATGGATGTTTTCATCAAAGCAAAAAAGGAGAAAAGAAACGCTCCCCGGCATGGTAATTTTATAAGTTCTTCCCTAACATAAAATCATGTATCTGTCTTTACATTAAGATTTATACGATTATCGTGATCGAAGAATTTGTGTTTGATTTTTCCAGGTGTGACAGAATAATGTTGTACGGGACAGGATTAAAGCAACATGTATATACCAGGGGGGAAGAAAACTTCTCGGATCATAGGCCGGTGAAAGCAATATTTACAGCTGAAGTTGGGGTTTTACATTCACTGAAACAATTTCAAAGCGTTTTTTTGTCGGAAAGGTTTGATAGGATTACAAGTAAGACCGATGATTTTATATGTAAAGGAAGATCCAGCATCCAGATTTTATAAATCAAAACTACTTTATTTTAGCTTGTATGATTGTTTCATGCATGTTTTTTTAATTGTCTTAAATGATTATAAGGTAATATATAAGTTGATTTCAACTTAAATTTGTTGATAATATACACATTCTTCATGATTTTTCTTTTTTATTTCTTAGTTAATAGAAAAAGGTTAGATTATTTTTTAGAAAAAGAAAAGGAAAAAAAATAGGTTTTGTTTTGATCCAACAACTAGAGTCCAAAATTTGACTGCTTCCAACCAGGGTGTCACCCAATGATTAGAGTAGCTTAGGAACCAAGTTTATTGGCGGATTTCAAGCTAATTATAATTTACAATTACTTATCATCTTTCAAACTCAATAAATAAATAAATAATGATTGAAAGAATTTAATATAAACTATGGGACAATAATTGAGTAGTTTGGAAAGTATTAACCAAATTAATTCTGCCTTTGAATTGGACCGACTATTTCTAATTGGTTAATAATTTACATCGTTGTTAAGGATTGAATCATTTATCCATATCACTTGATGCACATAATCTTAATGCAACTATTTCTTAAGATTTAATTTAACACCACCTCCTTAAAGAGTAGCACACTTCTTGTTCCCAGTGTTGAAAAAAATCGCTAATTGTGGAGTTTTAAATGAGAAATTGAGCCAAACATTGTTGAGGAAAACGTAGAATCAATTGTTGGTTCTAAATGTTTTGATGTGCATGATGTGGGCAACATATCTTTTCGAAATTTTGTTTTGAGATTAAAATGATAAATATTAAATTGTTGCTTTAGTTCGTACAATAATTTTGGAAATCGCTTGTTATGATTATTGATTCTCTTTTATTAAATGTTTTGTTAGGTAAAAAATGTTCAATAATTCACAATGTGAAATTCCTATAAATATTGTGTAAACCTAAAGTTGAAACACAATTCAAAACAACTCAAAAACAATTCAAAAGAATTATTTCTTCTTCTCTAGTGTTTTTTATGATAGATGAAAGCAAGTGAATAGTTCGTGATCTCTTTAGAAGTGCAACTGTAGCATAATCTAGTTGTTGTATCCTATCAGACAAATCACCAATGATTTCAAGCACCATAAGAGTGGTCGAAAATCTTTCTTAATGAAATTGTGTAGCTGGACGCCTTAACTCATTTCCAATTGGTTGTTCTGTCAAAAATTGAGTTTTTATTTCTTAATTGTTATTTTTGGTTATTTAATAAAATATTTAATTTTTCTTTTCTTTTCATCTCGGATTGTTATACTTCTAACAATCTTAAAAACAATTCTTTCTTCTACCTTTCTTTAATTCGAGAAGATTCTTAGTGAAATCAAGAAAGCAAATAAATTTATTTTCGGGATTTATTATGTCATTTTAATGGGTTTGCTTAATCTCAATGTAGACAAATCTATTTAATAGAAGTTGTCGTTAAAGTAACGATGGTTACTAATTTTGTTTTAGAATGTTGATCATGTAATAAAGAATTAATGTGATTTTTTTATGTTATGATATTATTTGATAATATTATTATGGTAAGATTTTACCCATAAAAGTGTATTGTGATATTGTTTATGAAATTAAGGGTATGATATTATTACTTTATAATTATTTTTGGCCAAGATTAAATATGGTATGAATAAAAATTATCATTGGTATTTATAATAATTATTAAGTGTTATAATAAATATCAATTGTGTTTTGAAAACACTATGAAATTCATTATCATACAAACGGATTAGTTCCTTTTGATTACTCGGTTGCGGAAATTAAAATTAAATGATTAGTCCCTTTTGATTATTGCATTTCAAAAATTATTATTATTATTTTGATTAATCTGTGATAAGTACAAGGCAGTATTTATTCAAAGATAATTCTCAACCATTCGATATTATTTAGCATTCACAACACTGGTATTCCTGGTGCTCAAACCCAAGACCTCAAGGAATAACAATATTCATTTACCACCAAGGTCGTTTGGTTCGTGCATGTTTCGAAAATTAAAATAAAAAGATTAGTTCCTTTTGATTATTGGGTTGCTAAAATTAAAGGATTATGTTCCTTTGATTTCTGTTTGTTAAACATAATCAGATTATCGTGATATATATATTTCGAGTTTTAGTGTTACTAATCTCGTCGTTTAATGGAAGATATAACCTTCAAAAAAAGAAAAATAAATCATTGGATTTATTTCATCATTAGAATCTTGTGTTGATTCTAACTTTGTAGGAAAAATAAATCGTTGAATTTATTTCCTTGAGATTCCTGAATGATTCTAACTTTGTACGGAAAATAAATCATTATATTTTTTTTGAGAATCTCGAATGATTTTATCTTTTAAAAGGAAATAAATAGTTAAATTTATTTTCTTGATAATTCTTAAATGATTCTATTTTGTACGAGGAAATAAATTGTTAAATTTATTTTCTTAAGATTCTTGAATAAAGAAATAAATTATTGAATTTATTTTTTTAGGAATCTTGAATGATTCTACCGAGTAAAAGGACGTAAATTGAATTTATTTTCATGTGAATCTTATATAATTTTGGTTTGTGAAAAGAAACAAATCGTTGATTTTTTTTAGAATCTTAAATGATTCTATTTTGAAAAAAATTAAATAAATCATTGAATTTATTTTTCATGTTTTGTAAAAAGAATTAAATCGTTGAATTTATTTTCCCTGTTTTGTAAAATGAAATATATCGTTAAATTTATTTGTATGAAAATTTTATATGATTATGGATTATAAAAGGAAATAAATCGTCGAATTTATTTCCTTAAGAATCTTGAACAATTCTATATTGTAAAAAGAAATAAATCATTGAATTTATTTTCCTAAAAATCTAATATGATTATATTTTTTAAGAAAAAAATAAATCGTTAAATTTATTTCTTCGAAATTTCGATATTTGTAAAGTGAGATCTTCTAAATAAATTTGTTTTAAGAAATTTAATCCATATCGTTTTAATAGGTTATTTGATCTACTTTTTCCAAACAAGAAGTAATATGAATAAACATGTTTATTCAATTTGTTATGAACTAATTTGTTTAACGAAATTTGTTGCTGGAAGTAACATTGGCTACGAATTGTTAAATTATCACACCCCCTCATCGCAAATATTAGCATTAGCATAACATACAAGAATTCATAGAGCATTATAAGACACAACAATTATGTTGAAACGAAATGACAATTTAAGTACTAAATTGAAAAATATATATATTTAGATAATAAAATGAATAAACCGGTATGGTATCGAGCGAAACGTTCGTTAAGCAATTGTATAAATGATTGAAAACTTTGCTTTCTCATATTTGGGCCATACTTTCCCATGAAAATGGAGGATTAAGGCAGATCCAATATTTGTATCACTTTGTCCGTCCTCTAACAAATGATTTATTTATTTTTGCTGCCCTTTGAACAGCGGCGCTTGTCCCACGTCAGTTCAATTATGTTCAGTTATTGACCAAGTTTGAAATGAAATTTGATATCCCATATTTATTTCATTTCACTTTCCTCAACTATAAATTCATATATTTACAATACCTTAATGATTTCAATAAATAGATTCATTTTATTTTATATCTACATTTTTTAATTTGTGGAGCTCCACGTTTGTAAACTAGTTTATAATTCATACAGTTTTATAATTAGTTTATTGTTATCTAATTTTACGTAGTTTTTGGAATGATCTTTGTCTGTTCATTTTGATAACACGAATGTCACATCCCTAAATATTCTGAATCGAGTTTTACAAAACAACTGTTCATAAATTGCACATATTCCGTTGTGGGAAACATTTTATTACCTCTGTAACAAGCAAACAAATAATTGCAATGTGGTTGTTAATTCATCTTTGTCGGTAGGTTATTCCAGCCTGTATTCTGTGGCGTTTTTACCAAAAAAAGCACTTAAATAATCAATAATTACTTATTAGGTGTACATTGACCAAATTTTACCGATCTAACACTCATATGCTAACATAGACGGAAGGCACGGATCACCAAACTCGTGTTCTCTGGGTTTTCTTCCAAGTTGGCGCCACGCGGGCAAAGTGCGGAACACCATCCATGCTTTCGTGGGGAAAACTGACACGCGACGGAAGGCGTGTATTACCATTCACGTCTTTCATTTTTCACCTTGAATTATTTGGTACTCCATAATTACCCGAGCCTTAAAGTTCGGCAACTCACCCATCTCCTTCTCCTATAAATATCCCGAATGCAAACATCAAACCACACCAAAATTACTTTCACATTTTTCCTTCTATCAAGTTAAGTAGATTTTATTATAGTTCTTAGAAGGTAAAATTATTTTTATTATATTATATTATATTTATTATTTGACCATTTTTTACTAACTATTTCATATTATTTTTTGCAGTTGTAAAATGGAAAGCATAATCAAATCTCGAGACATTTTGTCAATACAATAATAATATTAATTTGTGTTATTTAATTTACTGTGATTTTTTTAAATTTTTTTAGCATTAGTTTATATTTTAATTTGTATACTATTTATTTAATTAAGCATATTTCAACTATATTGTTTTTGAAGATATAAGACTCTCAGTCTTTCAAACTCACATAATGAGGCGTATTTTAGCTATTATTTACTAAGATGGAGAAATTCAGAAAGATGAAATTGACATTATCTTCGCATCAAATCATTATATTAGAATAGCCTTCAAGAGAAACATCACTCTTAAGGAGCTGGTCACTAAAATTTCAATGAAGGTTCATGTTGGAAGTACTAGAAGATTGTCCTCATTCCAGTACATATTTCCAACCGTAGTATTTTCGTTAACTTATACTGAGTTCGAACTCTCCAAAGATGACGATGTTTCTATGATGGTTGATTCTCAAAATCAAAATTCAGATGCTTATACAGAAATGTATTGTGGCATTTGTTGAAGTGTCTACGGTTCATGGTATATCATTATGCTCCCACTATGGGCTGGCTCAACAAGCTAATCAAGTTGACATCCCAACTCAAGTAATATGTAACGATT